TAAATAAAGACTCGGGATAGAAAATGCTATTTAAATTTCTCCAATAAATTAACTTAATATTTTTTATCAAAGTGCTTCCCAATTTCCTCTCATGAATAATCTTTTATAGAGGAAGGCCTTAGTTTCTGGTTATTTTTAATTTATAAAGATATTTAATTCCTAAAGCTATGCAGGGGGCGCAAAAATGCTTTCAATATAGAAATGCCTTAAAACCTTTATTTTTGGGCACTGTTCCGCAAGTCACTAGACATCTAAATTGTTTTTGAAAGGTTTTTGAAGATCAAAATATGTACTATTTAAAAATGAGAGTATTTGAAGTTTATTTACAGTGGTGGAAAAAAGTATGGAAGCACTAGAAAAATCTTTTTAATTCTTAATTTTTCATTCAAAAAATACGTTCTATTTATATAGCAATCGAAAGCTCTATTTGTATCTCAGTTGCATATTTCTGCATTTTTCATGAAAATGAAAATTGGCCGAGATAATCCGGATCTACCGGATATAATAAATCCCATAATCTCGGAAAAATTTTTCGGAAAAATTTAACAAACCCAGTTGATAAAGCATATTTTTTTGAGTATTTACCACAAACCCGCTTAGAAATATCTTTCTCGGGACCAGAGATATGATTTTTTGAAAATGGCATTTTCATCAATTTTTGCAAAAAATCCGCTGAAAAATAAACATAAAGTTTTATACTTTGACTTTTAGCAAGTTAAATGAATCGAAAACATCAAAGAAGAGAAAGAAGGAATTTACTCAACCATTTTAAGCTAAATGTTAAATAATAAAAGAAAATTAGAAAATTTTAAATAATGGTTAAATGTAATCACTATAATAATCGTAACGATCTCCTCCATCTTTTTTCTTTTGAGAAAGTTTATTTGCTTTCCTGAGTATCATCATCTGAGAAGGGATGTGCAAGATAACCTGTAAAGATTACAATTATGATTTGAATAAAATTTAATTTAAGTTGAAATAATTTTAAATTAGATATAATAAGTAAAATAAAGGTAAAAGTTTAGCCCGAGCATTCAGCAATCCTGTGATCTTTTGAAAGTTATTGCTGCGCGCTCTAGCTCTCCAAATCTATCGACTGAGATAATGAGGCGCTGCGTTTTTTTCTTTTTTAATATAGAGTAAGCGTTTTAAATGCATGCCGTTTTAAATTCTAGACAGCTGAATCTCTCTTATTCCTTTCTCTTAAATACAACAAATTGAAAAATATTTGATGAAAGTTAAGAAATTATTTTGACAAGCGTTCAAACAAGATTATGTTCAAATTAAATATTTACCGCTTATAAGAAGAGGGGTACGTGGATGAGGGCGACGCGTGTTGATGCCAGATGAAGTTCCACCAGTTGTTAGTTGAGGACCTAGAAAATTGAAGTTTTATAAAAACGTTTATCTGTATTAGTTTCACCGGCTTCGCTATGACGCTCTTGCTGAGATCTTGCTACTTGCTGAGCTGTTCTTTCTTGCTGAGCAGCAATTCGTTCACTTCTTTTCGTTGGTGTTTGTGTATTAGCCGCATGATGTGGCGGTTGTTCGGGTGCATTGTTGTCTCTTGGGGGCGAAGCTCTTCCAGTTGGTTGTTGAGGAGGTACAGCCAGATAAATTTATTTAAACGGTTTCTTTTTTTACAATCTCTTTATTAGATATTATAAATACTAATATAAAAACAATTTCCATTACATTAATTTCAACATTAATTGGATACTTGTAATAAAATCTGGAATCACGGTGATACTGATACTATCCGACTCAGTTCGCCTGGAAGAATCGAATGATATATGAATCTACTCGGTGCCGAACCGCCCATCGGCAAAATTCAAATTCGTAACTGTTACGAGTACTACAAAAATATAAATATTAAGAGGTCAAACTATGAGTAGGCTTTATTTTCAAACGTATTTTGAACATTTTAAAATTTTGGCTATTAAACAAAAAACTAATCTTATGATAAAAATAATTTTTTTATTAAAGCAGTATACCTCTCCAACAACGTTTAGTTGAGCATGTTCGACATGTTGAGGTTCTAAATTTATTATAAAATACTCCATAATAGGTAAATATTTACCTTGACGAGGTCTTAATTCCATAGAGTTGGCTCTTGGAGGCACCGAGTTTGGAGCACATCCATCGCGTTCATAACAATCACCTAAATTTCTTGTCTTTTTTCTTCTTACACAATCTACTTCCTTCCAAATCAGAGCAAATGATAAGATCAAAACAATTCCGAATACACGCATTTTCAAATTGTTTTTTAAATTTTGAACTTTGAAAAAACATCATGAGTTAGCAAAAGTGCGCAACGTTTAACACGATTTTTGGGAATCGGGAAGGCTAGAACACTTTCTTACCTCGGACTAGGTTACTGAATCACACTGGAGATATAGTATTCAGTTTTATTACCCTTTAAAAACACATGCCTCTACGCATAGCCCTCACTTGCATTCTAAACTTTTTAAGGGCTTTTGCCCATACTATACACAACAGTAATTAACTGAGGAATCGGATGGAAATCGTTGGAATTTAAAGCATCTAAAATCGGGAGTCATTTCCAAATACGACCACAAAGAAGGAAGTACATTTTTATTTAAACGCCCACGATAAGCACATGTCAATTATTGACTTTAAATTGGAAAAAATTTTTTAAAGAGGGAAGGAGCGTTGAATACAACCTGCCAATTCTGGCAGCTATTCTGGCAAGGCATTGTTTAAAATTTAAATTATAGCTATTAAAAATCGGAAGTCGATTTCCTATCAACATATGAAGGAAATCAATTTTTATTTTTACTTAGAAGGAGGAATGTGTAGCTGCAAAAATTAAATTATTTATCAATAAATAAATTATTTTATGTTTTTAAAATTAATTTTTAAAACTTGCTATGTATTTTTAGAATTTAGTTAATAGAAAAAATGTTGAAACTTTAAAATATACTACAAAAATAATTATGAAAGGGAAAAAATTGGGATCATGAGAAAAGGCAAAATATCACGGTTAATTCGTCAGTTATGGCGTAAAATGCTGAAACCTATAATGGTGTTGTGTAGTGGTGACACTACTATAAAAGCCACTGTAAGCGTCAGTCTAATTGGATCATACTAGCCCAGCTAGTCCCTGATCTCCTTCGTCTGTTCCAACTTTATCCCTTCGCCTACACATTGTTATTTCTCTACAGTTAAATTGTTATTCTATTGCACGTCGACTTTCGTACAACCCTCGGACATAACAAATGGTACCCTAGGATAAACGTCCAACTTAATAACATACATATTTAAAAATAATAGAATCAACTGTGAGCAAAATATCACGGTTTACCTAGGTCTAAAAATAGCAAGTTTTAAAAATTAATTTTTTAAAACATAAAATAATTTATTTATTGCTAAATAATTTAATTTTTGCAGCTACAAAATTCCTCCTCAGTAAAAATAAAATTGATTTCCCTCATATGTCGATAGGAAATTGACTTCCGATTTTTAATAGCTATAATTTAAATTTTAAACAATGCTTTGCCAGTATAGCTGCCAGAATGGGCAGGGTTGTAATCAACGCTCCTTCCCTTATTAAAAAATTTTTTTCCAATTTAAAGTCAATAATTGACATGTGCTTATCTGTGGGCGTTTAAATAAAGACGTATACTTCCATTTTTTGTGATCGTATTTAGAAATGACTTCCGATTTTAGATGCTTTAAATTCGAACGATTTCCATCAGATTCCTCAGTTATATACCTTTCTATTTTTCTTTAAATTAAAAAAATTTGCGGACTTAATGTTATTTTTTATGAAACAGGCGGCTCCCATACAAAATCTCTATTCCTTAAAATCGCTATTCCTTAAAATCTCTACTAGGGTAAAAATGCTTAAAATCTCTATTCCTTAAAATAACTATTCCTTAAAATCTCTACTGGGGTAAAAATAATTAAAATCTCTACACCGTGCAAATGGACGGTAGAGTCTCAACAAAAGTGTAAAATATGAACTATTCATTGGAAAACCCAGACTTGGTAATGGATACGGATACAATTGATTTAAAAATGGCTGCGGATATCTGCTTGTATCCGCTGTAAATATCAAAGATATAATACACGACTGCTTCGCTGCGGTCGTGTTCATTTTGCTTGCGGTGATCGTATCGAAGCGGCTGCTGTCGTTCCGCTGGACATGCCTGGGTTCATCCGCAGCGGCAAAAACAATACAAGCAAAATAATATCAAAAGATAAGCCAGAAATCAGAACAACGTTTCCGCACTGAACGTTGGCACTCAAAAGGCTTCTTAATAAAAAATAGATACATATTTTGCCTATTTTTGAGCCTAAAAATGATTAAAATAACTATTCCTTATGAAAAAATAGCTTCCGAATGAAAAAATAGACATTTTATCCTATTTTTGGCCGTGTAGAGATTTTAAGGCATTTTACCCGTGTAGAGATTATGAGGAATAGAGATTTTAAGGAATAGTTATTTTAATCATTTTTAGCCGAGTAGAGATTTTAATGCATTTTAGCTGTGTAGAGATTATAAGGCATTTTAGCCCAGTAGAGATTTTAAGGAATAGAGATTTTGAGGGGATACGAAACAGGCCCCTGTTTTTATCATTTTTGACACAGTGCCATTTCATTCACTTGAAGCATAACAAACTTTAGATTTTGATAAAATTTGTTCTGTATATATTTATTTAACCTCTTAACAAATTTTAAACTTATATTATAAATAATTTTTCTTGTTTTAATAGTTTAAGAACAAAATAAAGCTGTTTACTAATGTTAGCAGCTCCGGGTATGCCGAACCGGAAAACTCGGATATGGAAACTTTTGTTTTGATTATCGATCCGGGATACCCGAGATAGCCATGAAACTTCTTGGGGTTCCTCGGGTTTGCTCGTTTCCTCACCAAAATTTGTGGTGATGAAATAAAAAAAGAAAAATTAAGAAATTTATGTGCATGGTGATAAAAGCTGTACATATCTAAATTGCTTTTTGAAAATTTCAAGACATTTAGAAAAAAATTGAAAATGAGTGTATTCAAAATTGTTATAGTTTTATTATTTGCGGTACTTTGGAACGAAATTGATTGCACAACTAGAAGGGGAAGAAATTCGCGCACTCAAGGTGCTCATCAACCAACTGAAGAAGCTCAGCCTTCAGGAGGAGACGATGGAAATACTCAGACAGCTAACCCAAATCGTGTAACGAATGCAAGGACTCATTTAGGAAATGTTGCTTTACTTGCCCGTCGACTAGCGGAAATGAATCAGAGAAGTAACTTAAATTAGATATTACCCTATTATGTTTAACAGATTATCAAGAAGAAGGAGGGCCACAGTATGATCAACATCACAATGCAGAGGATGAGCAAACCCGCCAAAATGAGCCTGGAGAGGTAAATTTATTAAAACATACTGAATAAAAAGTTTATAATATTAATAATATACTTAATATACTATTGTATATTATCAATCAGTTATATTTATTCTAATATAGGAACTGGATAATCCGATTGGAAGTGGATTCCGAATTCGTGAACATTTGTTTGACGGTTGGTTATAATTAAAACTTTAATTTCTGTACATGGTTAAAATTGTAAGGGACAAAGGTATTCTCGGCGTTTGTTTCCTATAGTTTATAGCCATTTTTTATTATTCATTCCCTCCCACTTTTCTCACACATTTAAAAGGATTTGTAATCACTAGGGCGTGTAATTATATGGATATAAAATCGAAAAATATGGCCATAAAATATGTATATAAAATCCCGAAATATGGATATAAATATGGAAATAAACACTAAATATTGATATAAAATCCTGAAATATGGATCAAAAAATAGTGAAAAGATATTTTTAAAATCAGTATTTTATATAGAAAACAATAATTTTACCTTTAACTTTCCATTTTAAGAACATTCTAAAGGATTTTATGGATTTAAAATTTCCGTTAAAATTTTTTTGAAAATAAATTTTTCCGAAAAATTTTCAAAAAAATTTTTAGACCAAAAATTTCCAAAATTTTGAAAATTTTCGCCAATTTTTAGTAAAATTTACCAAAAAATGACCAAATATGGACAAAATATGGAAAATATGGGCATAATGCCAAAATATTGAAAAATATGGAAAATATGGATTATAAAGACCATTCTAGAAACCCTAAAACAGGCCAAAAACATGTTTTTCGTACGTTTCATAGTCATAGGAATTCAGGAAAAAAATATGGATTTCCATATAATTACACGCCCTAGTAACCACCCTATAATTGTCTTATTCCCTGTTCAGTTAAATAAATGTTTTAATGAAGCTTCAATAATATTATTGGATTTAATAAATATATAAATTGTGTATTCAATTGTATGTGTCCGGTGAAGGAGATCAACCGGGGCCTGATCAACCCTTAGGTTCCTCTTAGAATGTTCCGGGCATATTCCCTCCATTATTCCATCATTCTGGGGTTTGGGCCCACCGAATTAGTTATATCTTATTCCGGGGGTCCTACCTCTATTAAATCAATGATTTTATCATTCTTAAGATTTTTTCATTTCTAAATAATTTTAAATAAAAATAATTATAACTTCAGCAACTATATTTAATAAATTAATAGGTCAAAATATTGGCAATATGCAAGCTCAGTTAGAATGGGCACAACCATCTCCAACGAATAACTATTCTGTATACAATCCTAATGGATTAAATGTGATTTATGTTATAAAAATTTAAAATAGACTTTGGAAACATCCGTATACTTTATATTAAATTTTGGATTATACCCTATTTTTAAACAATTTCAAAAGCCCAATAACTAAGCCAAAATTTATCATAGATCCTTAACATAAAAATTCCTCGGAATTCTAGGCATATCTGAAGCCAAGTAAAACGGATTGGCCGACCAAATTGAATTTGGCTGGCCAGAAAATACTTTAAAATATACTAATTAAATTTCTATATTAGTTAACTGTTGATCTTTATGGACCTCAACAACAGAATGTAGGAACTAGTCATGTCCGTCAATCGGGATCAAGAAGGACTAGACGTAATAGAAAAAACGCCGCTCCTCCTCTTCGATACGGTAAATACTAATTTTAATAAACTCGCAATAATAAATTTATAGGATATCTTGCGCCATCAGATGATGAACAACAATGAGACAACGAATAGGATTTTTAAGAGAAGAATAGGTGGTGAGCATCGTAACGATTATTCGAGTTATTACTTTCATTTGCTCAATTTGGTTGTTAATTATTGAGCAAACTCTTTATTTTATCTTTCTGCTTATTCTACCACTACAAGATGGTAATGGCAACTAAAGTTCTATCGGTATCTCCAACAAATTTGTCTAGTTCCATATTTTATAGTTAGTAATAGAGACTTCCAAGACCGGAAATTTTCCAAGACTAAAGACAAAGACCTAAGACTAAGACTTGTCCTCAAGACTGTTTTTAGTCCCATATGGCAAATTTTCGGTTAATTTCTCGGGTCTTAGAAAAGTAAATTACAAATATTTACTATATTGCCATTACCATATTTAAGGGCAACTTTTTCTTTTCATTCTTTCCCTGGCTCAATTTGGTTGTTATTTTTGAGCAAACTCTTTTCTTTCTTCTTATTTAAAATTTTATTTTTTTTATTATTCGAATCTGTCTTTTACAATGGTTGAGTAAACTTTTCATTTTTCAAATACAAAAATTTTTAAAAAATATTACAGCCATCGAATTATATAATAGTAGAAATATTAATTAGAATTAACAAATAATTGCCACCCCTCAAACACCTCTCTACTTTAAACATTTTTACAATTAACTAGACTAAAAATAGCAAGTTTTAAAAATTAATTTTTAAAACATAAAATAATTTATTTATTGCTAAATAATTTAATTTTTGCAGCTACACACAAGAATTCCTCCTCTCGGTAAAAATAAAATTGATTTCCCTCATATGTCAATAAGAAATAGACTTCCGATTTTTAATAGCTATAATTTAAAATTTAAACAATGCCTTGCCAGAATAGCTGCCAGAATTGGCAGAGTCAACGCTCCTTCCCTTATTAAAAAATTTTTTCCAATTTAAAGTCAATAATTGACATGTGCTTCTTTGTGGGCGTTTAAGTAAAAACCTACTTCCTTCTTTGCGATTGTATTTGGAAAAGACTTCCGTTTTTAGATGCTTTAAATTCCAACGATTTCCATCGGATTCCTCAGTTAATTCCTCAGCTGTGTATAGGCCTTAAACAGTAAAATGCTAGTGAGGGCTATGCGTAGAGGCATGTGTTTTTAAAGGTTAATAAAACTGAATACAATATTTCCAGTGTGACTCAGTAACCTAGTCCACGGTAAGAAAGTGTTCTAGCCTTCCCGATTCCCAAAAATCGGGTTAAACGTTGCGCACGTTTGCAAAACTCTTATTATAAATTGCTCTTTTCAAATTTCAGAATTTAAAAAAACAATTTGAAAATGCGTGTATTCGTAATTTGTTTGATATTACTATTTGCGATGATTTGGAAGGAAGTAGATTGTGTAAGAAGGAAAAAAACAAGAGGTTTAGATGATTGTTATATTCAAGATGGATGTCCTTCACACTTGGTGCCTCCAAGAGCCAACTCTATGGAATTAAGACCTCGTCAAAGTAAATATATTTACCAATTATGTAGGATTTTATGATAAAATTTAGTTCCTCAACATGTCGAACATGCTCACCTAAACGTTGTTGGAGAGGTACACTTTAATTAAAAATTATTTTTATCATAAGATTAGTTTTTTGTTTAATAGTCTTGAAATTTTTAAAATATTAAAAAAACGTTTGAAAAGGGAGTTGGGAAAGTTAGATTTGACTCGTAATCTACAAGTATTTCATCCTGCTTCTAGTTTGGCGTCTTAACATTTATATTTTTGTCGTACTTGTAACAGTTACGAATTTGACTTTTGGGCTGTACTTTAGCCGATGGCCGGTTCGGCACCGAGTAGATTCATATATCATTCGGTTCTTTTATGCGAGCTAAGTCTATAAAGAGATTGTAAAAAAGGAAATGTTTAAATAAAATTATCAGGCTGCACCTCCTCAACAACCAACGATAAGTGCTTCGCCCCCAAGATACAACAATGCACCCGAACAACCGCCACATCAAGCGGCTAATACACAAACACCAACGAAAAGAAGTGAACGAATTGCTGCTCAGCAAATAGCAAAAGCTCAGCAAGTAGCAAGATCTCAGCAAGAGCGTCATAGCGAAACCGGTAAAGCTAATACAGATAAACATTTTTATTAAACTTCAATTTTCTAGGTCCTCAACAAACAACTGCTGGAACTTCATCAGGCATCAACTCGCGTCGCCCTCATCCACGTACCCCTCATTTTATAACTGGTAAATATTTAATTTTAACATAATTTTGTTTGAACGCTTGGCAAAATAATTTCAAAGCTTTCATCAAATACTTTTCAATTTGTTGTATTTAAGAGAAAGGAATAAGAGAGATTCGCTTAATAGGCGGGAGTTTAAGAGCTATATTAAAAGAGAAGGAAACGCAGCGCCTCGATATCTCAGTCGATAAACTTGATGAGCTAAAGCGCGCAGCTATAACTTTCAAAAGATCGTAGGATTGATTAATGCTTGGGCTAAACTTTTATATCTATTTTACTTATATCTAATTTAAAATTATTATATCTAATTTAAAATTATTTCTTTCAAGTTAAAATTAAATTTTATTCAAATCATAATTGTAATCTTTTCAGGTTATCTTGCTCCATCTTCAGATGATGATGATCAAGAAAGCAAATAAACTTTCTCAAAAGAAAACAAGATGGAGGAGATCGTTACGATTATTGGAGTCTTTTCATTCCTAAATTTCTTTTCATTCCTAAATTTCTTTTCATTCCTAAATTTCTTTTCATTCCTAAATTTCTTTTCATTCCTAAATTTCTTTTCATTCCTAAATTTCTTTTCATTCCTAAATTTCTTTTCATTCCTAAATTTCTTTTCATTCCTAAATTTCTTTTCATTCCTAAATTTCTTTTCATTCCTAAATTTCTTTTCATTCCTAAATTTCTTTTCATTCCTAAATTTCTTTTCATTCCTAAATTTCTTTTCATTCCTAAATTTCTTTTCATTCCTAAATTTCTTTTCATTCCTAAATTTCTTTTCATTCCTAAATTTCTTTTCATTCCTAAATTTCTTTTCATTCCTAAATTTCTTTTCATTCCTAAATTTCTTTTCACAAATGGGAGGAAGAAATATCAATAAAAAAAGGAAAAATTCGGACGATTTTAATGAAAGTAGTAGTTCATCAATAATTTTGACAACGGAGCAAGTAACTGACATATCTAAAAAAGTATTAGATCTCCTGAAGCCTTCAATTGTTGAAATTATTAAAACTTGTATTTCTGAAATTATTCCTGAAATTTTAAATAAATTGCCTAATCTCAACAATAACAATAATGCTACACAATCAAATATTCCCAATCTTAATTCATCAACAACAACTGACACCCTTCCACCACTTGACCCTTCTCTTTCCTTTGACATCGTTAATTTTGCTGCTCTTAATCCAGATATTATTAAAGAAAAGTCTAATGTTGCTGTAATTGAGCGTCTGCCCGACAACGGCCCCGAAAACGACAAAAATTTAATTACTGAAATTGTAAATTCTTTGGGACTGGGTGACAAATTGAATGCAGAAAAAGAAATGTTTCGACACTCTTCGCGGTCAGGTCAATCAATAAATAAAACAAGGATACTTAAAATTCCATTTTGTGATGTGAAAAGTCGTGATATGTTCATTCGTTTATTCTCACAAAATAAGAAAAATTTCCCAAATTTACCACATAATGTTTTTGTTAGGCGTGATTTAACTAGACCCGAATTACAATTATTATATACACTTCGTAAAAATGCATTTAATACGAACAAGTTTATTGGACTGTACAAATATGTTGTTGTTGATTTAAGTATCAAGACGTTGTCTAACCCCAAGCCTTTCAAAGTTAGTATGACCTAGGATAAAAAGGGCAACTACAGAAATTTAAAACAAAAATTACCAAATAAAAATTATAAATGCCTTTACATAAATGCTAGGTCAATACTCAATAAGATATTAGAATTAGATTATATTGCATCTAAGGATAACTATAACATTATCTTAATAACAGAAACATGGTTAAAAAGCTCTAATTCGGCATTATTAGATTTACAATTTTCAAAAAATTTTTCATGCGTTTCTTTAATTCGTACATCTAGAAGGGGTGGCGGCTGTTCCATATTATTATCAAAAGAAATACCTTATATTACAAGATTCAAAGACACTAAGTTTTCATGTGAAATAATTATACTATCTTTGCTATTCCCAGTCCCTGTTAAATTAATATTGATTTATAGACCGCCTAATTGCTCTAATTCTAATACAAAAAAACTTTTTAAATTTATCAAAACAAATCAAACTTCTAGAACTATTCTATGTGGGGACTTTAATTTACCTTTACCAAATGAAATTATATCTCAATTTTTGATATCTAATGACCTAACACAGCATGTACTAAACTCAACTAGAGATAATAATATACTTGACCTCGTAATCACAAAACCTTCTTACTTGGTTACGGGCTTAGTTGTTTCTGATAGGTTCTCGACTTCTGATCATAATCTTATTTCATTTTATTTAAATACCAAAACAATTTCTAATAACAATGATTATAACTATTTTAGGGATTTTAATAAAAAGAATTTTTCATTACTAAACATATGTTATTCTAAGATTAACTGGAGTGAAAATTTAGATTGTCTTTTTGATGTAGAAAATAAATATAATAACTTTATAGCCCAGATATCCGATTTATACAATATATGTGTACCTTTAAAACCTATTGGGAAGCTCTTAAGTAGAAATTATCCTCAAAACATCAAATCGATTTCACTAAAAAAACTAACAATTTTCAAGAAACTACAACAGACACCAAATGATATTAAACTTAGGATTGAGTATAGAATGTTATCAAGGGAGTATAAAAAAAGTATTTCTCTTCATCATCAAGAAACACAATCTAATATTTTATCTAGAGGAGGGCAAAAATTATATAACTTTTTTAAAAACAAAGTTAAGCGAACTGCATATAATATCCCTACATTGTGTGATACATCTGGTAAAATTTATTCGACCGACTTAGATAAATGTAATCTTTTTGCCGAATATTTTAAAACTCATTTTAAATCATCACTCGAAACTCCTTGTTTCAATTCTCGTGATTCTGATTTCAATGACATAGTTTTTGATTTTCTTCAGATTTCTAAACTCTTATCTAAATATCCCTCTAAAGACTCAAATTCACCAGATGGTATTCCTTATGCTCTATTAAAGAACTCTGCTCATACTTTATCACCAATCATATGTGAAATTTTTCGAATTATTTTAGACAATGGGGAGATACCATCTATATGGAAAACTTCTATTGTCATTCCTATATTTAAAAATGGAGATAAATGTCTTCCATCAAACTACAGGCCAATTTCCTTAACCTCGACCCTATGTAGAACATTAGAGAGAATATTGAAGTATAATATACTAGAGTATTTGAATTCAATGAATTTCTTTTCAAAGGATCAATTTGGATTTTTAGGAGGTCGGTCGACTACAACTCAGCTTCTTTCTATGTATCATGAGCTATATAATGCTAGGCTTACTAATAAGTGTGTCGATGTTATATATATTGATCTATCTAAAGCATTCGATACTGTACCAATCGGCAAATTACTTGAAAAGATATCTTCCTTAGGAATTGGTGGTAAAATCTATAAATTTATCTATAATTTTCTTACTGATCGTAGCTTTCGGATCAAAATATGTAGTAAATTTTCCGATTATTTTTCTGTTCCATCAGGCGTTCCCCAAGGGAGTGTTTTAGGTCCGTTATTGTTTCTAATATTTATCAATGATCTCCCAAATTATATACCAGAAAACGTTCATATTAAAATGTACGCCGATGATATTAAACTATATGTTATCCACAATAATGACTCAAATAGGGACTATTTAGAAAAGGCTCTTAAATCGATTGAAACCTGGACTAAACAAAACCACATGGAAATTTCAATTAATAAATGTTCGGTATTACATATTGGCAACAATAACTCTTCAAAATCTTATTTATTAAACGATAAAATAATCCAGGTAGCCGATTGCATTAGAGATTTAGGAGTTATAATTGATAATAATTTTTCTTTCTCATTCCATATTGATTACATAATTAAAAAGACATACTCCTTAATACATCTATTTTTTAAATTTATTAAAGTCCGAATATTAAAAATATGGGTTCTCATCTATAAAATATATATTAGGCCAAATTTGGAATATGCATCTCAAGTTTGGAGTCCGCAAAATAATAAGGAGATAATTAAAATAGAAAAGGTCCAAAAAATGTTTACGAGAGTTATTCTTAAGAAATGTGGCTTAGCACCCCGACCTTATCCAGAAAGACTTAATGTTTGCCAGCTTAGACAGTTGAGCAGTAGAAGGGCGTCTGCCGATTTATGCATGGTCTTTAAAATTATTAAGAATACCACTAATCTTATTCCTACCGATTTCTTTACTTTTTCTAAGCGCTGTAGCCGAAAACCGCATTTTATTCTTAATTCGAAATATGATTTTAGAAATAAGCAAGATTTCTTTATTAGAATGATACTTAAATGGAATAGTTTGCCTGCTGAAATTACAAAGTTATCCAACATTAAAAATTTTAAGAAAAGTATTGACACCCTAGTTCAGTAACTAACTTTGAATGGCTCCTATCCTATACTATTAATATATAAATTATTTTTTTTTTTTTAAATAATTTTCGATAATTTGACTTAGCCCATTGACCAAATTACCTTTTAATTTATTTTTTTTTAATTTTTTGTAATTTAATTTTTTTTTTATTAATTTTATCGCTTTTATTGTATTTCCACGTAAGAGTACAATTATTTGTACCTGTGGTTGCTCAGAATAAATAAAAATAAAAAAAATAAAAATAAAATAAAATGGTTGAGTAAATTTCTTCTTTCTTTTCAATTCATTGAACTTGCTAAAAGTTAAAGCATGAAACTTTAAGTATATTTTAGCGTTGACTTATGAAGTACTAATTATTAGATATTAAGTGGTTTGGTTTTGCCGACAGGCCCCTCACCTCTAAAATGTCAGCCAGATAGGTCGAACATTTTCGAGCGGGGGTAACTACAGAATATGTTTAGCCAATTTAAATATCAATTTAAATTTAAAAAATTTTATCAAGTAATATAGTAAATTATCAAAGTTAAAAGACTCAAGGCCATCATATTATTCTCTTGCTTATTTATTTGTGCCGATGATTTTGGAGAAGAACGATGCGTTGTGCCTTTAATAGGGGTAGTAGATTCCTTTTTGACCGATACTTTCGTGGTTGTGGAAGATACCCAACTATTTGTTTCTGTCTCAGTCGTTGTTGTTGATACGGGAAGTAAAGAGTCCACATTACACAAATCGGTGTGATTACACGTTACACAATTTTTGTATTTTGGAGGGCATTCGCCGCAGTTTTGTTCGGCTTAAAATTATTTTTTGAATCGAAGAAATTGAGAAGATTGTTACCCCTCCAAAAGACGTCCCTAGCAATGTAGCAACTGCTATCAGTTGGATGACACGTCCTAGCATTCTTCTCATAAGGTAGTTGATTGTAAGTAAGCTGGTAACATTTAATTTGGGGAAGTTTTGTTTCATCATTGCAGAGAGGAGTTGAACAATTAAAACATTTATCGAGATTATGCTGTCCCGAACATTTACCACAGCCTTGTACTATTCCTTAAAAAATGGGGGCAAAGATAACCGACAAATACCTTAAATTCTAATTTACCCTTCTCTTCTTTATTAATCCCAACAAAGCAAAATCCTTTCTTACAAACTCTTTTTCCTTTCGTTGCTGTCCATTTGTTAAACTCTTTTTCCCAACAAAACAATTGACTTTCAAAAAATGTATCTGCATTACAAGCTGGTTTATTATTACATTGGGCGCATTGAACTTTACTCATATTTATTTTCTTTATTTTGTTTTGGAGTGTTAGATCTTTAGTCTTGATGTATGGAGAAAGGTTGAGAATCCCTGATGGACATTTTCCACAATCATAGTGGAATTGGTCTATCTTCTCGTCTATAATATTAGGATTTAAGACTCCGTCTCATCGAGGTATTGATACCCGAATATCCCCGACTTAAAATTAAGAATAAGTAAAGCAGCTGGGCTATAGCTATTTTTCTCCTTTAGCTAGTGCAAAAGCTTAATCCGCGGCTGGGAGCGAACCAGCATCTTCACTAGACCGGACTGATGTGTTAGCCATTACACCACGTTGCTTACTGCACAGCCTTAGGAATTAACTAGCTATATGTATAAATAATACCGAGGATTTGAGGAAATAATGGGGATACAAAAGTTTAAAGGGATTATGAGGCATATTAAGAGATATATTAAAGTATCAACTTAAAGAACCACCAAACTCCCTCCTAATCCCTATACATATCTCTTTATCATGCGAAATCCTCTATACCCTCAAAATTATTTCAGCAGATGATTAGAAAGAACACACCTCCATGTCTCTCTTTAATCTTAGCAATATAACAGTCAGATTCGTTACATTTATTAAAACTGCCCATAAATCCGAAGCAATAAAAAGGAGCAGGTTTAGTTTCAATATTGCAACGATGCCCTTCACATTCTTCACAAGTATGGAAAGGGCACTTTCCACATCCTTTTTTAACTTTAAATTTCTCAAAAATTATTGAAGAATTTATTTTTAAAACCCTCATTTGTTGGAGTTCTCCATGTATAGCAAGCATCGTTAAATTTTGTTTTGCAAATTTTATTTTTATCTGTCCAACAATGTTTATAAACTTTATCCTCAGAGTTACAATAATGCCCTTTTTTACATGTTATACATTCTGTTTTGTCTGTTATTATTGAACAATTTCCACATCCTTGTGTTACTATAAGGAGATAATTAATCTCTTACTAACATCCTCAATATAATATACCCCCTTGGGATAAGAAATCGTAGGATACCTTAATTTAAGTAACTCTTGTTGAGTAAAAATCGTCCTTATTCCCCAACAATCGTCCACTTATGATATTATTAAAGCCAGTGTCAGCGTCAACTATTCGGATCAGTCTACCACGGGTAGTTCCTTACCACCACGGGTAGACACTCTGACTTTTATGATACACAGGCCTTTATACTTTCAAAAATATTGCTTATATAGTAACAACACTATACACATAAACGTACGATAAATAAAGCTCTATCTAATATTGGCTATACCCTAAGTGATTGGGAGAATCTAAATATTAATTCCCTACCGTTCCCAGTTGTAAAATTTCTAAACACAAAACATTTATCTCTGCAAACTTTTGCTCCTTTTATTATTCTTGTTTCATTTGCCAACTTCTCCAAACAAAACACTTGTTTCTCAAAAAACGTTTCAGTATTACACAAAGGACCCTTATTGCAATCTACACAGGGAACCTTATATATCATTTCCATAGGCATAACTTTCCCTAATTTTTTGCTTAGGGACGTATCGTTGAAGCCTGCGGAGTGTATTGGACATTTTCCACAGTTGTAATGGTACTCGTCTACTTTGGTGACTGAAAATTGAGAGGATTTTAATCCAGGTCTATGCTTGGATTTGCTTTAGGATTTGACTAAGGAGATCAGGTACGACTGACGGTGACATTACTTTGCACTTTACCCCCCCCCCCCCCCTTTATCTCCTTTATATAACCAAAACTATTCGTATTTGAGGCCATTATCCTAGCTCTATCTTAGCAGTCATATCCACGGCAAAGCTTTTATATTATCTATGGGACTCGGAGAGGTCGCTTTTTTGAGTCTATATTATCCTCGGTAAATCTGAGAGATGTCACTTGCGCCTGACTCTTAAGTTTTGCTTTGGATTTCTAGAATTTGGCTTCTATATTAAAGCTCGGACATAAAAGTATTTATTTTTTTATTTATTAAACTCTACCGTTATTATTAAATTTCAAAATGTAACATTCATTTTTACGGCATTCTTTAACTTCATTAATTCCTTCAACACTTTTACAATAATAAATACCCGTCCAATTATTACAACGATTATCTAGACATTCTCTACACGATGTAGAATTACACTTTCCACATCCTCTGTTTTCTTTAAAAATATTTTTAAAAATTTTTTGGAAAATTATTTAGTCAATGCCTGTGTTATTCTTCATTCTCTCCACAAAACAAGGAGTTTCAAACGATGTTTTACATATAGTCCCATTGTTACTCAAACATTGTTTTGGAACAAGACTTTCTTTATTACAATATTTTGTGTTGCATTCTACACAGTCTATATTATTTTGACACTTGCCACAGTCTTGTTTAACTAAAATTTTTGTTGAAAATCTGAGAATTTGAGTAGATAAATCCACAAACCTTTCCCATCCTTGTCTCTCAATACAAAACACGAGGCACTACAAACTCTCTTCATTCCAACAGGTTTAGCCATATTTTCAGTCTTCCACAAACAAAACTTTGATTTGTTGATAAATTCCTGAGTGTTACACAATGGGCCAGTATTACAGTCTACACACTTCTTTTCACGATGTGAGACATCACATTTTCCGCAACCGGAATCGAATACTGAAAATATATTCATTTAAGTCATGATACATCAGAATATCTAACTCGATACATCAGAATTATCTTCAGATCTTTCTGAGTAAGAAAGTCTATACTTAGAGGCCGTTGAGCCGCGATTATACTTTGAATCTTTTGGATGGAGCTTCCAATATATTTTGTATTTTACCTTTTTCTCTCTCATCTAAAGGAGCAATGTAACACCAATCTTCCTTGCATTTCTTATTCCCATTCTTAGTCATACAAAATGTGCGAAAATCAAGCTTATCATTACAACGATGTCCGTTGTTGCACGTAACGCAAGTAGTATTTGGGCACTTACCACAACCCTTTTTTACTGGAAAATAATGAAATTTACGTCTCATATTTAAAATACCTTTATTGTTTTCTATAATCTCCGAATAACAATAATCTTCGTATTTATTTTTACAAGTCTTAGGCTTGGTTCCGGCATAAGAATAATCGTATATTCCATCCAGACACTGTTTATAAACATGTTTTTCCTCGTTGCAATAATCAGTTTTGCAGGCATAACAATCCTTGGAATCTTTCCCCATGCAACTGTCACAGCCTTTCCACACTTAAATGATATCATTATTAAACTTTTATATATTATATACAATGTCCATTCGCATCTCTAAAAACAAAACATTCTTTATCACATTGTTTTATTGCCTTCTTATATTTCTCCTTCTGACTATCCTTAATGAAACAAAACAATGTTTTGTCAAACAATTCTTTTGTGTTGCACAATGGTTTATCACAAACAGCATACTGAATATCCTTAACTTCTTTAGGCGAATCTCCACAACCTTGTTCAACTAAAAGATTTTTTAAAGGAAAACATAATGGTAAGAAAAAGTTTATCGTTCGGGCAGCAACAGTAGAGGCAGCTTCGAAATTTCGATATTTTTGGATTTCTTTCGATTTTCGAATTTCGAAGCTATTTTTGTTTCGATGCACCTCTGCTTCCAACACTTGAAGCTCCGCTTTATACAGACAGCTATAGGGACAAAAACTTCATACTTTCTTATAAATCTTTCCTCAATACAAAATCCTCTCCTTCTATAAAATTACCAATTTTAGTGTCGTAGGATATAAAACATTTCTTGACCAAACATGGCCTTTTCCCCTCATTCGTCTTTCCATTTTTCACTTTTTCATAACAAAAAATTGTTTTAGCCAACAATTCTTTCGAGTTACATTTTAACTCTTTACAATCAACGCATGACTTTTCAATTTTCTTTTCATCACAAGTTCCACATCCAGCTTTTGAATCTGGAATTGAGGGTATTTTTTGGATGTGTATTAATAAATTTAAGTTAAGCTAGAACATGCATAAGGGAAATGGTCCAATAACCATATTTTTCATATTTATTAAAGTAATTGTTTGTACCTTTAGAAACAAAACATTCTGATTTTGGGCATTCTTTTAAACTTTTTCCATCATTGTCCAAACAATAATAATGAGTATTATCACCAGCATTGCACAAGTTTCCTTTACAGTTTTTGCATGATGTAGAACCACAATTACCGCAACCCTTGTTTACTTAATATATAATAATTATTATTTAATGTTGTAAATTCTAAACTAATATTATTTGCTCCAAATTAAAGGCACGTATGTATTGGAATGATCTATTGACTGAGGAGTACTCTATGAAAGCCTTCGGACTAGAATTTTTCGTGAGAACGCTTAGTATGGTTCGAATTTTACTTAATTTTCAACATTGTCATACAATTATTGATATAAATTTAAGTTGTCGATCATTTTTGGCGGCGAAAAATAGCCCCTCGCTAGAATAAGCCCCTAGATGTCTATCAAAAATTAAGCACTGGAGCTTATTTTAAAGGTATTCCCGCGGTCCAGAAAGATAGGACCTAAAGTTGTCGGACGTTACGGGATGACGGCTATTGATCACAAAGATCCCTGAATTTTGGAGGTTTTCCAAAAATAATGTACAGAGCTATTTCAAACTTTTATTATTTTGCATTCTCTCGGTGAAACAATTTGCTCCAAATTCTTTTGTACATATTTTGCCATTATTTTCCCAACAAGATTCCGGGACTAACTTTTCTTCATTACAATATTTTGTTTTACAAGTTTTGCAAACTTTAGCTGTGTTGGATGGACATTTACCGCAACCTTGTTCTACTAAAATTATTTTATTTAATTATTATCAAACATATTTCCCATACATTTCCCATCTCCATGTCTATAAACAAAACATTCCTGATCACATTTATTTATTCCTTTAGTATTTTTCGTTTCTTCTTTTCTTTTAAGCAAACAAATTAATGAATTGTCAAAAAATTCTTTAGTATTGCACACTTGTTTATCACATATAACTAACGGTATATCTTTCAAGTTAGCAGGTCTTGTATCGCCACAGCCTCGATAAACTATTTTTAATTATAATTATTAGAGCGTATCGAGCCGAATCGAATAGAATAAGTTTTGTATCCGAATTTTGCTTCTGTATACTATACTACATACACTGT